GGAATATTGAAGCTCAATAATAAACTCCGTCAACTAAATATATTTTTGCAAATATTGGCTAAGATCCCAGTATATACTTTTATGGATTTTAGACCAATATTTCGATGTGTTACAAACGATGACTCCCTGATGAGTTTATCGTATACCGATATTGTTCATTTTCAATAAAAAACTCCATCAACTAAAATTATTTTGGCAAATATTGGCTAGATGGTCTTAGAATGTAATAAGATCCCAGCATATACTTTTATGGACATTAGACCAATATTTCGAGGTGTAAAACGTTCCTTGACTCCTTAATGCGTTGTGTCTCACAAGTGGTGATTTAGCGATCTTGAAAGTGACGGAACTATAGGGGATCACATTGTTCGCCGGTCTCTTGTAAGATTTTAGGTTGATAGTCATGCAGTACTTAAAGCATTAATATGTCATAGCTGTATTCTTGCATAGTTGTAGAATGAAGAAAAGATCTAAGTGTTATTATGAGACCGTTTACAATAAGGCTGTGTTGGGTACCAGGACCCTGCAATATACACAAATGAGGTATCTGGCGAACTGATACGATGAGGCTCGAAAGCCACCCCTTTTTCATTTTTTAGGTTGATCTCCGATGGATTCCGTGACTCTATCAACCAGTCATGGAATATAGAATTGCACATTATATAAGAACACTTGCACTGGCTATAAAACATTATTAAAATACATAAATTTTTCTTAGCACAAAATAAATATGTCTAATAATAATTTGTACATAAATTTTTCTTAGCACAAAATAAATATGTCTAATAATAATTTGTTTTGTTTACGTTTTTACAGAAACTCACCACACAACAATCAAAAACAGCTGTTAGGGTTTGCTGTTTTATCAAAAGGTTGTTTTATTAACGGGTATGATTTTTCGACTTTTCGACCTTTTTCATTTAATTAAAAGTCGACTTTTAGACTTTTAGACTTTTCGACTATAAGTATTTTATAAATAGTCGACTTTTCGAATTTTTCCGACTTTTCGAATATTTTCGAATTTTTGTCGACTATTTTTTAACTTTTTTCGAGTTTTTCCGACTATTTTAGAGTTTCTGACTTTTTTGTCCACTTTTTTAAAATTTCCGACTATTTTCTACAATTTTCGAGTTTTCGACTTTTTCCGACTTTTTTCGACTTTCCGACTTTTATTAACAAAGTCGACATTTCGACTTTTTCACAGACGATAGTGGAGTTATCGATTTTTTGGAACAAAATAGTCGACTTCGACTTTTCGACAAAAAGTCGGTTGTTCGATTATTCGAAAGTCGACTTATAGAACCCTAATAAGGAGCGCACAACAGGCCCGATAATGGGCTAGGTGCATTTCTTCGGATTTGATATAGTATACACCCTTCTATCAACCTACCTACCTACCATATATATATATATATATATATATATATATATATATATATATATATATATATATATATATATATATATATAAGGAGCGCACAACAGGCCCGATAATGGGCTAGGTGCATTTCTTCGGATTTGATATAGTATACACCCTTCTATCAACCTACCTACCTACCTACCATATCTATATATATATATATATATATATATATATATATATATATATATATATATCGGCACAGCCGAATATAGCACTCTTACTTGTTTTTAGTAAGTTTATAATCTTTAAATGATTATAACTTTTCAGTTTTAAAAGATTTTAAATTGAAATAAATTATATAAAATTATCTGACTAATCCAATCTACTACTTTTAGATGTTTTTATGTATATTAGACATTTTTTTAAAGGTCCAAATTTCCCAAAAATCGGGTAGTTAATATACCGTAACCAGGGCTACCAGATAAATTTGTAGAAATATCGAAATAAGGAATTCCCAAAAAATAGGCATTTATCGGCACTTATATTTTAAAAATCAGCAATAAATCGGCAATTGAAAAAAAAACATTATTTTATACCAAAGAAACGTATCACAAATTAATTAAAAAATCACATACATAACTCAGGGAATTTTTATTCAGAATAGGTCTGATAAAAGAACTCTTTGTAAGGGTACACCGAAACATTGGTTGACAGGAATAAAATCTATTAGAATTTGTATCACTTGCAGAAAAATTTAAATGTATAATTATTTGTGGAATACTACCCTGAAAAAATTTTTAAATTTTGGTTATGTACTTATTTCATACATTACTTGGCGGTGAATAGGATTTGTAACCAATTCTCTAGAGCGGGTGTCTAATATGGAATTAGTTAATGGTTCTAATTCTAGTTGACATTAGAAGTTTTTTGAAAAAAAATATATTTTTTTAAATTTTTGTTAAAAACATTCCAAATAGCACGATCAAATAACTTGTTAATGGAGCATTGAGTAAGAGAATAGACTAATAAACACAAAAAATTACAGTAAAGATTTAAATCCCGGAAAGTGGGGTAAGCACATTTGTAATCAGTTATTTTCTGGTTATCGTCGAACAAAAACCGGATAGGTAAAGATTTTGCTGAGTAAATTTTAATTTGGCGTTAAAATTCCTTTACCGAACCGTTACTTTTACGTTTAGAAACGATTACCAACCTTTTAAATTCAATTCTATTGAAAAACCCAAACCTGGGCCCTTGTGAATATTAGAACTAAAAAGTTTTAGTTCTAATACTCATGTTATAACACTTCACTTTATACTAAAATTCAACTAAAAACGGAAATGTTAACTTTAACCCCCCTAACTTTTTTCTAGTAAATCGATATTTAAGTTTTATGCCCAAAGCATCACCTAGCGGCAGAGACCTGCGCCGATCGGCTCACAGCCGGCTAAGCCAAGCCGCCGAATAAATTTAGAATTGAGCCGCCGATTCCTATATGCATATTAATACTATATGTAATAAAATTAAACAAATTAAAAATTATTACCTTTTTATATTGTTTACTGAAAATTTAAAATATGTGTTTTTGGAAATTCGTGTTTTTAAACTGAGTACTACAAATTATGCATTCCAATTCTTTATATAAATATGTATATCTGTTTTCAAAAATAGCTAAAAATTTCTAAAAAATAAAACTGATGCTTTTAGACATTGTATTCGATAAGTAAAAATTTAGTTTAAATTCAAATGAGAAAATTTTATATATTTAAAATTTGTTAAAAGGGTAAAATATCATGAAACATTTAAAAAGTTTTAAAACATTCTTTCATTTTTCTCGAAAAGACGTTTATTGAATTATGTTAGTATTATGAGCATTATTTTCGATTGGCCTGATGTTTACCTTTCCATATCACAAAACTAAAAGAACTTCAATAATATCTGTTTTTTAATCGGATACGTGAATACTAAAAACGTTTACTTTTAAATTTTATGCATTTTGCAATATGGCAAATTTATTCGGCTCACAGCCGACTTAAAGCCACCGTCGTCAGATTTGGTCGGCGCAGGTCTCTGGCTAGCAGACCAAAAAGAAAACCGGGTTCATAAATTCCGATCCAATCAAAAGTTATAGATTTTTGACCGCCATCTCGTAGAATGGTCCACTGTGTGACGTATATACGATTTTTGTAAAATAGCTCCCAAATGAAGTAACTCCCAACGGGTAAAATGAAATAATACCCAAATAAAAAATTCCATACAATTAGGGACTTCATCTGAAGTTACTCCCAATCAGGCATGGGGGGTAATGATTACACAAAGTAATTCATTACATGGTCAATTACAATTACTTGTAATGTGTAATTGAGCAATAACCAATTACAATTACTTGTAATTGTAATGGAAATTTTTCCAATTACAATTACTTGTAATGTGTAATTGACCAATAACCAATTACAATTACTTGTAATTGAAGTTTTGCCAATTACAATTACTTGTAATTGAAGTTTTGCCAATTACAATTACTTGTAATTGTAATTGAAAATGTAGTCATTACCCCCCAAGCCTGCTCCCAATTTATTGGAACTTATTTCATATTTTTTATTTCTCCGAATGAAACAACTCCCAATAAAATTTTTTGTTGGGAATTATTTAATTTTGACAAATTTTGTTAAATTTTGGAAATTTGCGTTGTCAATAGTGAGCTAAACACGTTTGCTGACATTTAGACAACGGATGTGCATAAAGTTTAGATTGCGACAACGAATTGTTGCAATGTTGAAAAAGTTGCGTGGTCTACATTACATGTTGTTGTTGTATGTATGTATATACATGACAATGGATGTTAATGAAAAATTTTGTGTCAATTTGGTACCAGGCGTGTATATTTTTTTCATCTGTGTATACTTTTAGAAAAAATGCGAATATCTAGAAAAAATTTGCAAAATTCTTATTGTTGCCCTTGCTGTCTTACATAATTTGTCGATTATGTACAAAGGGCAAGACTTTGGTAAGATTTTTATTGACATGTTCACAAAACACATAAAAAAACTTTTTCAAATGTTTATTTTATAGATGATACTGAAGGGCATTTTCATACTGAAAAAGAAAATCACCATACTTATCAGAATGATATTGAATATTAAAACATTTCACGAGCCCTTTATATTCAGCAGCATTTTCAAATTTACATGTACAAAGAAAATACAAATGATTTTTTTTTATTTCAAATTATCACATTTGGAACTGATTCTTAAGAAGCGTTATGGATTCTTTCAGTTCTTTAATAAATTTTTTCGAATTTTCCCACCCAGAACTAGTGCTAGGGAAGCTTTAGAGATGTTATGAACCTTTAGAACTGTCCTAAAACTGGTTATGTTTGCAGCCGTTACACAACTTCCTTTTTAGGACAAATACTTCCTTGGTTGTATTAAATTTTATAATAATATAGATATACAAAAATAATTTATTTTATTAATTTAATTTTATTTAAAAAAAAATAATTAAAACTAATTCAACAATTCATAAATTTGTACTTTGTGAAAAATAATATTTTCTAAAACGATTTTTTTTACGATTAATAAAAAATAATTAAACAAAAATAAACATGTTAAACATTCGAAATAGCGGGACACTACTCCTTAATTCGAATATTCATTATATAAAAATTCATTATATAAAAAAAAGATCAATAAAATCACAAAAAATATTCAACGTAGAAATCAAGTATACTTTTCTAAAGATTGATTAAGCGGCTCTTAATCAGGACTCTGACTTTTTACATCAAATGAAGTTTTCGATATTAAAGTTTAAAATATTTATAACAAATAAAATTTATTTTAAGATAACGTTTTGTTACAGGTGAAAACACATTTTATAAATAAAGGGGTCTGCGATGTTATAACGTCTTACCTATGACCCAAAAATGTTTTTATTAAAATGTTATATCGAAAACTTGATGTGATTTCTACATCACAGATTCCAGATTCGGCGCAGCTCAATCCTTTAGAAAAGTATACTTTGATCTCTGGATTAAACATTTTTTTGGCATGTGCTTTAATTAAAAAAACAAAATTAAAATGTAGTGACTGGCATCTGAAAAAATTTGGCATCTTTTAATAATTGGCTGAAACTTTTAAAAATTGTCTGAAATTTCATTTCGATATTGAAATTTCTTTAATTTTTCAATTTCTAGTTTACATTTTTCCACCTTCAGTCCATGTTCCTCAATTAATTGTAAATTTATTATTTCATTCTTCTTTTTTTGCATAAAATTTCTTCAATAAATTTCATTTCCAATTCTTTTTGTTTTATACTGATATCAAATAATTTTATTCTTTTGGAATTCTCAACGAACTTTTCGCATTTGTTGTTTTTTTTTGCTTTATGTTTTCCAAATTTATTTTTTCGCAATCCAAAATTTCGTTACTGCAATTGATTTCCACCTGTGGATTAGATTTGATATCATCAATTTTCAAAGGTATTTCAACATTTATTGAATTACTATCATATATGTTTTTGTAAATTCCAAAATGTTTAAGCAATCGACAAATTAGCTCTTCCTTAACGCCATTTAAAGGTTCAGGAGCTGGGCCACCACCAGCCTGTTTTGTTTGTCGGAGATAGGCAGAATTTTTTGTCATTGCTAGAGACTTCGTTTTCCTCCACTGATTTTGAATCTGTTAAATGGATCTATTGTTTTTAGACACTTTATTAAATAAATTGTGCACACTATTCCAAGCTTCTCCTTTAATTGTATTTGTGTTGGTATCGATACTAGCATTTTCAATTATTTCCAACTTGTCCAATACAAGGTTAGATAGTAGATCCTATAAATAGAACGTGTAATAACTAGTCCATATGTACTGGTATATTTTAAACCCACCTTTTCTTTTTGTTCCCAATTCACTGATCTTTTGGTTTGTTTGTCAATTTTTTTTCATTTAATAAATTAATTTTTTTATTTATTTCCAAATATATTTTTGCAATATGGAGGGAAAACACAAGTGCAAATGTCAAAATCAGAGTTGATTGTTTCTACATAATGTTACCATTTTTAAAGTTCAATATGGCATCACAAAATTTCAGAGTTGTAATATAACTACTTAGTTGACATTTTAAAACTTATTATGAATAAACTTCATGCGAACAATCTTCTAAGCCTAATCAACATTCTAGCAAGCAGCTCGTTGTTTGTGATGTATAAACTGCTGCCAACCTTTTATTATAAATTATTTTTTTTTGTACTCCATGTATGTATTTTATGTCATTATGCTTATGGACATTATGATACTTTTAAGCGTTTTATAATTCCATAGGTTCTATGGATTACAAATATGTAGTCCACTTAGAAAAGGCTAAACTTAGAAAAGCCAAGTTATTTCACACAAATAAATTCTTCGACTTGGGAATTATTTCATATTTCTTGGGATTTGTTTCATTGGGACTTACATATTTCGCATTTTTTGGAACTTAAATTCTTAGAATTCCAAAACTTGTTGTTGGGAATTATTTAATTCTACACTTTACGAGTTATTTCATTTTCTTCATGGGGAGTTATGTCATTTGGGAGCTATTTCACTGTACCACGATTTATTTTTTATTAATATTTCACTTATTTCCCCTTAAAATAGGGCTTGCCAAATGGGTCTTTTGATCTCAAAATTATTATATTGTAAAAAAAGTTTTTTATTTTTCACAAGAGAAGCAATTGCTCCCTTTACCAGGTACTTTTTATTGAAAATTTGGACTTTATTTTCTATTAACAATAATGTGGATAAATGCTATTGAATGTGATAACACTTAATTTTTATCATATCCGTGAAAAATATGAGAAAATTGATCGATATTGATGGGTTCAACCCTATCGCTTTTTATAAAGTCAAAATAATAGTTACAAAGTTTTTTATTTTATTAAACATTTTATCACAAATTATCTACATATATATATAAAAATTGTGTATGTTGTGGTATTTTGGAACCTCCCATATGAAATAAGTAGAAAAAAATCGTATGTCTGGGAAACAATTAGAGCAAAAATCTTTTGATATCAATGTGAACATTTGGATAATAAATTGGCAGACTAGCAAATTGGAACCTCCCATATGAATTAAATATAAAATTCATATATCTGAGAACCTATTAGAGCTAACAAAATTGACATGAAAAACTTTGACATTTATGTGAACATTTAGAGAAAAATGGGCGGACTTTCAATGGGACCTTGGCATCTCCCATATAAATTAAATACAAAATTTCGTACATCTGGGAAACTATTTGGAAAAATTGGCGAACTTGCAATAATTTGCGTGGCATCCCTAAAAAGTATATCTGGATAGATTATTAGTTAGAATCTTAAAAATCGTAAAGTGTTTTTTATAAACATTGGTTTTAGGGTAGCAAGCACACTGGATATAGCTAGTAAATTTTAATTTACATTCTCGGCACTCCGTAAGCTACCACATCTAAAAATACTTTTTTAGTTTATATGCCGGCCATAATGCATTATAAGTTATTTTGTGGAAAAGTAGTACTGTAAAAAATATTATAATTATTCTTTAAAAAACTAAAATATTACAATTATTTTTTTAAAAGTGGTCTCCAGTAGGTTAGTGGTTAGTGTTCTAGTCTGGAAGATAGGAGGGTGGTGGCTTCGATTCCCACCGGAGGCACTGGTAAAAAGCTCACAACAGGCCGAATACAACTAACTAACTAACTAACTAACTACTAACTAACTAACTAACTAACTAACTAACTAACTAACTAACTAACTAACTAACTAACTAACTAACTAACTAACTAACTAACTAACTAACTAACTAACTAACTAACTAACTAAACTAACTACTACTAACTAACTAACTAACTAACTAACTAACTAACTAACTAACTAACTAACTAACTAACTAACTAACTAACTACTAACTAACTAACTAACTAACTAACTAACTAACTAACTAACTAACTAACTAACTAACTAACTAACTAACTAACTAACTAACTAACTAACTAACTAACTAACTAACTAACTACTAACTAACTAACTAACTAACTAACTAACTAACTAACTAACTAACTAACTAACTAACTAACTACTAACTAACTAACTAACTAACTAACTAACTAACTAACTAACTAACTAACTAACTAACTAACTAACTAACTAACTAACTAACTAACTAACTACTAACTAACTAACTAACTAACTAACTAACTAACTAACTAACTAACTAACTAACTAACTAACTAACTAACTAACTAACTAACTAACTAACTAACTAACTAACTAACTAACTAACTAACTAACTAACTAACTAACTAACTAACTAACTAACTAACTAACTAACTAACTAACTAACTAACTAACTAACTAACTAACTAACTAACTAACTAACTAACTACTAACTAACTAACTAACTAACTAACTAACTAACTAACTAACTAACTAACTAACTAACTAACTAACTAACTACTAACTAACTAACTACTAACTAACTAACTAACTAACTAACTAACTAACTAACTAACTAACTAACTAACTAACTAACTAACTAACTAACTAACTAACTAACTAACTAACTAACTAACTAACTAACTAACTAACTAACTAACTAACTAACTAACTAACTAACTAACTAACTAACTACTAACTAACTAACTAACTAACTAACTAACTAACTAACTAACTAACTAACTAACTAACTAACTAACTAACTAACTAACTAACTAACTAACTAACTAACTAACTAACTAACTAACTAACTAACTAACTAACTAACTAACTAACTAACTAACTAACTAACTAACTAACTAACTAACTAACTAACTAACTAACTAACTAACTAACTAACTAACTAACTAACTAACTAACTAACTAACTAACTAACTAACTAACTAACTAACTAACTAACTACTACTACTAACTAACTACTAACTAACTAACTAACTAACTAACTAACTAACTAACTAACTAACTAACTAACTACTAACTAACTAACTAACTACTAACTAACTAACTACTAACTAACTAACTAACTACTAACTAACTAACTAACTAACTAACTAACTAACTAACTAACTAACTAAACCTAACTAACTAACTAACTAACTAACTAACTAACTAACTACTAACTAACTACGAACTAACTAACTACTAACTAACTAACTATACTAACTAACTAACTAACTAACTAACTAACTAACTAACTAACTAACTAACTAACTAACTACTAACTAACTAACTAACTAACTAACACTAACTAACTAACTAACTGACTAACTAACTAACTAACTAACTAACTAACTAACTAACTAACTAAACGAACCGACTAACCTAACATCAAAATTTGTAAACTTTTGAGACCCATTTAAAAAAAAATATAAATTTGTTTAATAAATTGTTCAAGATTTTCCGTCGCTGGCTCATTATGACAAAAAATGAATATATGTACAATTAAATGGTTCCTAAATATAGGTACAGTTATGGCCTACTATCCAATAGTACTAACCTTGGAAGATTTTAAAAGTTGGGTCACTTGATTCGAAGTTTTCCTTGTATAAAAAGTTTACAAAATAAATATTTATGAGAGTGAAAGATAAAAAGTTTACAAAATCTTTCGTAAACATTTATGAGAGTGAAAGATAATAACCAGTTTGAAACCCTTTATAAATTGCGATGTGCTGCATCAAGGTTCTATCATCGAATTTGTTTACGTATGTATATGGTAGTCTTTGATATTGATTTGAAAAATGTGACACATCGAAAAAAATATTGTAGTCCCATAAAATTATATATTGTGGTTCGAATCCTAGTTGATATCAGTAGTTTTTTCAAAAAACTAAGTAAAAACTATTGCAAAAATTACTATAAAAGAACTTGAAAATGGAGCACTGAGTAAGCGGATATACTAATAAACAAATAAGTGTAGAGCCGGTTTTGGAACAAAAACGTATTCACTTTTAAACACATGCTTTCAATAGATTGTGCAAGCAAGATTTGTATTTAATTTTTTTAAAATCAGTGATTAAATTCATACATTTAAGGATATTTGACTCATCACTGTTATAGAGATATGTATGCATGTATGTATGTTAAATTTGTCAGAATATACACATTCCGTAATTATTTTTAATGTCAAGATTTTAATATCCTGTAGTTAAACTATACTAATTCTTCAGCTATATTTTTTTGTTATTTAAAATATTTAGCTACAAAAATGTTATTGGAAATTAAATTGTATTGGATGTAGAAAATTTCACCTCATTTATTTATTATATCATTTACGACCCGTAAATATATTGAGCAATTTTGTGAATACATACCTGCATAAGTTTAAAAAAATTTATATCGTATTTAAAATACAAAATTATAGTTTTCACATTTCCAACTCTTTAATCATATTTGATGTACTTTTAAATATTATTTTGGGGTTTAACTTTAGTTCTCAAAACATTTGCTTGATTCAAACTGAGAAACAGTAACGATTGACCTATTTTTTCAACGATCTTTTATATATTCTTAAAAAATCTTAATACATAACCATATTTTTTTTAAATCTTCTTTAACAACGCGTTACATGGTTACATTATCCTTTCTATAAAAGTTCATTGAGATGATTAATAAATCGAAGATATCAAAAGGAATATGTATATTATTTAATTTTATTGTAAATAAAATTGGGCCCATGCGGCCCAGCTTAATCTGACAAAAATTTTCAGTGCTGTAGTTTTATATTAAGTGTCACAATTATTAAACCTACACTCCTCAAAATTATTCAGTAAGAATTTTTTTTTGTGATGACATACATGACATACATATTTATTACAACTAAAAAAAACACTTACATGACATTTCTGCTTGAGGACTTGATAGATGGTTAGCCTTTTCTAGTTATAAGACACATACGATTTATAAGGCGAATGTAGTAACTTTTACTTTTAATTTACACAATTTTATTTAATGAACTGTTTTTGAACGGTACTAACGGTAATGATTTGCTTTTCTTTTTTGCTAATAATTACAAATTTCACAAATTCTCCACATCAACCTTATAAATTGATTTTCCACAATATCCATGTTAGAAAAATGTGTAGTATAGCCCGTAAATAGAAATTGTAATTTAATTGTTAAAAAATAATAATTTAGAAAATAAAAAACTGATTTTTAATTCGTTTTTATTAGTTATAATTAAAATTACTCGATTCTTAAATAAATTTACCGTTATTATTCTAATATACAAATGCACACTTGTCTCACAGAGATATTTTCCATAGAGTTTTTCGCTGTTAGTTTTCCTTATGAGCATTACGTTATTTGCTTTCAACCCTTGACAGTTAGTTACATACATAGTACATTGTGGAAATAAGGGTGGAGTCTTATGTCAGAATGTGCATGTGCAGACAATTGCCTATTAATATGAAAATTACTATTTTGACAGGGTTGTTCATTCAGCATTGCCAGAATAAAAAACATATTTAGAATCCTTGGAAATCATCTACTACCCGGCAAAAAAAAAAAAAAAACTTCCAATGAAACGAAAATTAAGTAGAATTTACTCCGGAAGTACTAAAAAAGACTTCCAAATAAACCACTTATGAAGTCATTCTCAAGAATGTTCTTTTTTTGAAAGTTATTTGGAAATAAATTTGTAGTACTAAGAATAAAGTAGTATTAAAAATCAACTTGACCGAAAAAAAACATTTTTAACTCAAACAAGTAAATCGATTTTCATCTAAAGCATAAAATCGGTTGTTATATTTTCCACGCGAAAACTATTCTCATTTCAAAACCTTCACAGAAAAAAATATGCACAATTTTTTTTCTTAACAATCGTTTGCTTAAATTTAATTTCGATTTTTATAAATATTTTTATTTGGGTTTATAACGAATTTGTTTGATGTTCACACAGAAGGAAAATATTTTCTAACAAACACTTTATTGAAATAAATTTAACTTTCAGTAAATATTTTTACTGATTCAATAAATGTTTTTGTTTGAGTTTTATTTTTATGTCAGCATATGGAATACAACAATAAAACCAGTTTTGGAATGTACTAAAATGAATTGATATAATTCTTATTTGGTTTATAACATTTAATGTATAAGTGTTTCAGTTTTCACAGTACAAAATAATAGTTTCTAGAATTAGAAACGTTTTCTTAAAAATGTTGTAAGTATATATGTAATTTTTTTACTACTTTTAGTTTTAAATATTTTTTGTAAAATTTTTGTTAAAATTTAGTATATATTTTTTAACAAAATTTTTATAGATTCAATAAAAAATTTTCTTATTATTATTGCCAAAATACAATAAATAATTTAACTGTTTCAGATAACATATTTGTTTGAATTTCAGTACAAATACTAATAACTTGTGTTATTGTTTCAGTAAAATAATTGTTTGGAAATGTTGCGATTATTTATTAATGTTTTTCGTAAATAGTATATTATTTTAATAAGAAATATCCTGAAATTTTTTCAATAAAGAATTTACGAATTTGAGTACTTGATTTTACGAATTTCGTGATAGGTCCTAATTTAGTAAAAAAAAATACTTGGCTTTATGAATTTTTTGTTTGATTTTGAATTCCATTTTTTCTGTGTTTAATCCGCTGTATATCCTTAAAAAACTATTTTAAAACAGAATCGGAAATTTTTTATCAAAGTTATATTGTTGTAGATCTGTCTATATTACTCCCATCACTTATATTTTCCACAGGTAAACTATTTTTATTTCAAAACCTTTAATTTGCTATATATCCTCAGAAAGTAACAATTTTAAAAGAGAATCGGATGTAGTTACCTACGATCGAGAAAACTATAAACTATATTAGATCTTAAATGAATGTCTACGATGCCACTTTTGTATGCAGTACTGAACAAAAAAACTTTAACTATTAGTCAATATTCAAGATTCTTCATATTTTCCTAGGGCAGAAAAAAATGTAATTTTGTTCTTTTTAAAGGAATTTGAAATCAATGAGCCCAAATTTTTCATGATTATGTGCAGAATTTCTCAGGGGCACTACAGTTCAAAGGACTTTTGGTTTTTTAAGGATGAATTTTGCACCAAGGTTAGTACTGTCGGATAGGAGAGCAGATACAAAATTTCAGCTTTATCGTTTAAAACTGCCGGACTTCGAGGGGGTCAAAGTTGAACATTTTGCTCATACAGGGTTTTCACTAAAACGAGTGTAACTTTTCACCTATTGCTACAAGCAAAATTTGTGCAAAGTTCAGATAGCCATTTCTTCATTGTTTCTAAAAAAAATAGTTTTTATTTTTTTTTTCAAAAAACTCCTTTTTTGCTCCGATAATAGTCCCATAATAGGATGAGAGTGATATATATATCAAAAAAATATTTTTTAACTTAAGATTTTTCAATATTTGCAACTTATTTTTTTTTAAATTTTGTTTTGTTGTTTTTTTGGCTCAAAAGAAAGCTTAAACCATATCCTTTAAAAGCTTTGTGGTTACTTATTTTATTTTTTTTTAATGAAGATAAAGCTATCTGGACTCCTTTGGACAATTTTTGATAGGACCAATAGGTGAAACGTTACACTCATTTGAATAAAACCCTGTATGACTTAAATGTCCAACTTTGACCCCCTCTAAGTCCGGCAGTGCTGGACCGATTGATCTAATTTGAGACAGGCCTACTATCCAATAGTACTAACCTTGGAGCAAATTTCATCAAAATCAATATTTTGAGTTGGGTCACTTGACATGAAATTGCCCATATACTAATAGTTTTTATTAAAATTGTTAGCTTGGAAAATGAAGGAACTCGGCATTGTCATCAAGTCGCCAATTTTCAAGGATTGGTCCAAAAATCAGTTACAGAATTTGAACGCTCAAACAAAGCTTCTTAAATTAAGCTCGTAAAAAAGCCGGCCGTTAAAGACCATTTGAAATAATTTATATGGTCTGTTGGGTAATTTAAACAATTTTCGAACAAAAAAGTGAGATTTTTCAACATGACCCTCTCCAATTTCGATGATATTCGGTACACTCATTCTTCGTATAAGTACAAAATTTTAAGTTATCCAAAATTTCCAAATACATATGTACATATTTTACGGTTTAGATTTTATCGATGTTAAACGATCATATTTTTTTCAACAAGCATTAATTTTGACATGGTATATTTACTAAACTAAGTATTTATGCTATTTTAATCGATTAAGTCCCTAAATAATTCCTCTGTCTTGTAATTTAAGAATACCTTGTGGTAAAATAAACCACTTCATTTCCAATAAAATTAAACAATTTTGAACTCATTGATGAAAAAAAAAATAAATATAAAAATTTCGAACAAAAAATAATTACCAATTTTGAAATTTGTTTCAAAATTGGTTTCCAAGTTTAGGTATAGCTAAACTGTAAGAAATATTGATAAAATTTTTTTACCGTTTAATATCCTTATCTATTGTTCATAAATCCCCATGAGATCTCCTAAATCATGTGCTGTGAGACACGTTAATGGTCTGGGGAATTTGCGATAACTTTTAAAGTTTTTCAGCAATTTTTGTGTTTAATATCTTTCCGAAATTCTTATTCTGTGCACATTACGATTCCTTTACAATAAAGTTCAAAATTTATTACTAAATGGCATAATTTGTGCAAAAACTGAAAAAAATCCATATTTTCCCCTTGTAAATGCACTTGGAAATTCAGAGCCGTTGCGGCACCTGTTAACGTTTTCCTATCAGTAACGTGACCAGATGGATTTTGAAAGGAAATATTTTGAATAAGAGGAGTGTTACATGTATTCGACTAAGACGGATTTAAATACATATGTAAATATATCAATATAAAAAGTCGAAAAGAAGGATATCTACCTAAAATTCGAATCTGGCATTAGAATTTTTCTATCACATCAGGTTTGAAGACGTGCAGTAGTACACCACATAGTATTTCTAAAACAAATACACCATGGTGAGTACCTAATACTATAAGTATAATTGAGAGAATGAGTGTAACTGATATTGTATGCTTTTGCTTGTGCTCATCCACTCTATCCACAAAAAACAATACCAGTTGCTTACACTGTTGCCAGATTTGACGATTTATCGTCATTTTGAAGATTTTTAGTGTAAAAAATAGCCTGTTGACGATTTGACGATTTTACCTCTAAATTTTACGATTTTTTAATAAATGATTCTTATACAAATTTTCAAATTAGTCGGTAACGAAAAGGCGAATGTAATAGCTTTAAAGGGAAGGGAGCTCGAGGTAGTTAACCTGACGAACGCAAAACCGTTCGCGGCAACAAAAGCTGAATTAAAAATATGGATGAAAGAATCCCATAAGGCCTGTTGAATAATGAAACGGTGGGTCGAATCACAAAGATCCTATGGGGTGACCCTATTGAGAACAAGACGAGAAATCTCCTTAAAATGAGCAAGTCCGAAGTTAGTATGATTGTACGTATTCTGAGTGGACGCACAGAATTACGAGCACATCTATATAAAATTGAAAGTGCAGATTCAGACGAATGTAGAGCATGTGGAGAGGACAGTGAAATTCTGGAGCATTTTCTCTCCCACTATCAGGCATTCGTCGAAGTGAGATCCAAGTATCTTGGAAGTGATGTTATTCCGGAAATAACATTCCTGACTAACACTGATTGGAAAATTCTTAGGAATTTCGTCCAGGAAACTGCGTTTCTGAACATTGAAAAATAATACATTCAGTGAAAAAACAATTTCATGAAAAGGATCACACAACAGGCCCGATAGTGGCCTAGATGTATTATTTCGGATTTGATTAGTAAACACCCTTCTATCAACCTTACCCATAAGAGCATAATATACATGTTTCGATTTTAATAGATTATTTAAGTCATATTCAAGTTTTTTAGATCATATTTTCTTCTTAAATTTTTTTTTTAATTTAAATAAAAATTATGAAAAAATTTCTCAAAAAATATATTAAAAAAATTCATGAAAAACATGTAAATAGGTTGAATAAAAAATATTTCATATTCATATTTACTGTATATCATATCAGATATGTATGTAGTTTACAAGAAATCAGTATAAGGTATTTTAAAGTATAATTGTTAAATTAAGCAGATAATGATAACTAATATCAATCAAAATTGATAAAAACGTTGAGATAGTTAAACTAATAAATAAAAAATTTATGGAAATACCATCTAATATGTTTATTATCTATAACAAATAGTTTTGACGATTTAATGACGATTTCCAAAAATCAATTGACGATTTCGACGATTTTTTCCTCGAAATTTGACGATTTTGCACCCAAATCATCCGGCAACTATGGTTGCTTATGGTTTTGAGATTAATACTGTATTGTATTTGTTTCTATATATATAAGTTTGTCATTCCGTTTGTAATTT